ACACACACACACACACACACACACACACACACACACACACCAAGAAAATTTAATTAAAAATTTAAAATCTAAGCTGGGTACTTGGGAAGTAGAAGCAGTAGGATCAAAAATTTCAAGGTCACCCTTGACTAAGCATTGAATATGAAGTCGGTCTGGTCTACATGACAGCCTGTCTCAAAAGCTAAACAAAATCCATGAAAGACAGGTAGGAAAAGCACTTGGAGGGATGTGTAATTTATAGGCACATGTTCCTCCTCTCCTGCTTCTATCCCTATTGCAATTTCCACTCTATTAGACCAAGTATTATTACTGAATCAAGTGAGGGTGGGATTGCTATTGTTTTCCAACCTGCATGTTTTAAAGAACTGGAACTGTTTAGCAGTTATTGAAGACCTGCTTCTAGTGACCTCAGGGTTTGGGGGAAGGTGGCTTGTCCCTATGTTTTTGTCCCTTACCTGTTTTAATTAGAACATAATGCATAACTGCCTGTAAGCTTTTAAAGCGAAGGGCTGAAGTGGGGGCATCTCCCTTCAGTCTCCCAGTGTTGGGGAGTTATTTTCTCTGAAGGGAGGATCATAAGACTTAGGAGGCTGAGAAAGTTACAAGATCCACAGAGGCCCTCTCTAAGGTCATAAAAGCAGTAAGCAATTTCTAGGCAGGAGCCTCTTGGGTGGGACCATCTGCAAGTTGTGTAGGGAGCTTCAGGGATACAGATTCTGTGTGTTGTCACCTAAGCTGTGGTGGACCTCCCAGTGACACCATGGAGTCCTCCATGCTCCCATAAGTAATGCCATTAAACTCACTGGCTCACCAAGCTCACCTCAGAGGCAGTTGTTACTTTGGTCTGTCATCATCGTCCTATCTGGGGCAAAAAGACTTTTGCTCACTTCTCTCCAGAAAATGTCACACAACACCCCAGCATCACAGGTACTTTATAAAAATACAAGGCTCTGGTAGCACCAAGGAGCAGCTCACACAGCCTATTCTCTAGGTGCTGGATCCTGGCATCTCCAGGAAGAGTCGAGGGAGCACAGCCGGCAATTAGCAAATGGATCTCCAGAGCTGGGATGGGTGTGACTTCTCCACGATGGTACTCAATGCCTTCATTGTTTCTTGCCTGCCTGGCCCCATGCCACACTAGAGAGAGCATAACTCCTCTTCATGCACATGCTTGTCTGTGCCTGCAGCAGGCAGGAACCACCCACTATCCCAATCCCCCATGAAGAAAGAAGGACCTGGGAGGCGGCTCAAAAGCAACATTCACCTGTGTGCCAAGACGGTATCAACAGTAATAGGGAACACACACTTTCTCCCAAGTGGAGGTGTCTGGGAAACCTAGGTCACCCCACCTCCCAGAGCCTCTCCCTCAGGTTATTAAGGGGCTAGTAACAGAGCTTGAGTCTGGTATTGGAGCCTAGTGTTCTAGAAGGAAGAGATATGGGCAGAATTATCACTTGTGACAGTTATGAAGAACTGCCCAGACCTGTCCTGACTGGAGGAACCCATGGGAACAAATTACAGAATGACCACCCAGTCTCACATGTGTTGCTGGTGGCTTTTTAAGTGAGAGACAGGACTTCTGAGCAGTAGGAGGCAGAAGGCACACCTGGCACTCACATGCTGGTGTGACAAGCAGGCAGCTAAGAAGCCATGGTGACCTGCTCCGATAGAACTCCCCCAACCTACCCACCACCATCCCCTCACACACGAAAAGATCCAGGGCTCTGGGCCCCTATCCACCTCTTCCCGGCCACCTTCAGAACAAGCTTTAGCCAGACTCCTTGGCCCATTATGACTTCTAGATGATTCTGAGATTACGGTTTCCCAAATGATGCCTCTAGAAGTTTCTCGGACTCCAAGGTAGTCCCCTGGCTAAAAGGGTTTTTGAAATGCCCCAGGCAGTGTCAACTGGGAGAGGCCCAAGGGAACACTCTCAGTTCTCAGCATGCTACGGCCCTGGTCTTAGGAAGCCTTTCCCCCTGAAGGTGGTGTTCCCTACAAGCTAAGAGGGTATATGTCATTATCTGCCAACAGCGTGCCTGTGCCTGTAGGAGGGAGAATATGTAACAAAATAGGGTGGTAACAGAGGGCACAGATCCTCAGAAGATGGCCCTTCACAGTTTACTTCTGACACTACACTAGATACCAAGGCCCAGAGAGTGGAAAAAAAGGCTTGTCCATGGTCAGTGTTGCTGCTGGGCTCCCATATGGGCTTCTGGTTTTGTGCCTCCTGTAAGACCAGTGGCCAGTTACAGAGCATGTGTGTCCTTGAGGATGATTGAACACTCCACGGGCTCACCTTCTGGCATCCGGTCAATGTCCACATAAAGGCGTAGCATGAGGCTGCCCAGCCCATAGGCCATGGCAGGCCCTAGCGTAGTTGCTGCAAACAGGATCCCTGCAAATACAAAGTCTTGGTGAGGATCCTGTGGTGCCACTTGCCATCAACGTCTCTCTGACTATATCATCAAGGTCCCCTCATACCTAATTGGGTTCCTGCCTGTCCGTAGTGGGTCCCTACATACACTCAGAGGGTCTCTAACTACCATCAGTGGGTGTCTCTGCCTGCCCTTAGTGGGTTGCCTGCCATGAGTGGGTCTCTAACCACCCTCAGTGGGTGTCTCTGCCTGCCCAGGCTTCCAACAGCAGTCCCATCTCCTGGTCATGACTGGGAGCTCTTGGGCTTCTCTAGAATTTCCTTGGCCTATCCTCATGCTTGGCCTCTCCTCCCCCTGCCTGGGCCTGGCCCCATTCTCAGATCTTAAGGGAAGAGACCACCCTTACCAAGGTAGAGGGGTGAGTTGCTATGGTGGGCGAAGTCATCAATGTAGGAGATCCCAAAGGGCTGAATGGGCACACTGCCTATGCCGAGGAGGAGCTGCCCTGTGAACATGATCCCCACCATAGTTAGATGCTTGGCTTCCGTGTTGCTGGAACAGCTGTCATTGGAGACAGCAGCGGCTGGAGCCAAAGTTGTGGGCAGGCATAGAGAAACGTCCAAGTCCTGTGACCTATCTTTTGAGAGAAGACAATAATAAGAATAAGACCATAACTAAGATGAACAATACTCACCCAATGTAAGGGACTGTCCTGAGTGCTTGGGTGTAAGTCATTCAATCCCCCCAAAACCTAGGGTTCACAGACTAGAAACACGTCAACCAGCTGGGCTCCTCAGTTTGGCTTCACAGTTACTGTTCTTAACTTGCCACAGGTCACCTTTCTGAGCAGGGACATTCAGAAGGGTCGTGACAGTGGTGCCTCTTGGGTGGAGAGACAAGGGTGACCAAAAAAGCTAGAGTTTGAACTAGGTGGAGAATGACAAACAAGAGTTTTCCAGAAAGAGGGGGAGGGAGGAATATTCCTGGGAGAGTTCACAGTAGGGCAAACCCAGGGCCTCAGAAGGGCAGTGTTGGAATGAGATGTTCTGAACAGCAAGTAACAGAGTAAGGGTCACGCCAGGGCTATAGGCAGGACTAGGCAAGAGCAGGAAGCCACCAGACCATGGAGGGCTCTGATGTGCTTGGCACTCATTTTGGGGAGGGAGCTGTGTCAGTTCAGGACATGGAAACAGAGTGCAGGAAAGGACATTTTCTTAATTTAGTACCAGACATTTATTCCTTGACCAATATTTGGTGAGCAAACTTGAGGAGACCCTCGTTTTATTATTATCCCCAATGTGCTGAAGTGGCCTCGGTGTAGCCTTCCTTTTGTGGCAGCAGGGACAAGGGTGTCAAGCTAACCTGGAGAGCCACACCCAGTACTGGGAGAAACCATGCAACCAAAGTCATCAGTTGTAGTGGCATCTTGTTCAGCCAGTGGACTTGTGGTCTAGTGGACTTGGAATGGTGGCCACAATCAGTGGCTATCCCATTGCCATCAGTGGCTGTCCCACTGTGTGACCCTTGCCTCTCTGATTCTCACATCTCAAGTGAGTCTCCCAGAAGTGATGCTTTCTAGACATTAGAAGTTTAAAAGCAGAATGGTTTGGGGTGGTATCTAGGTATGGTTCTAGCTGTGGACATGGGCTTGTACCTTCCACTTTGACCTTGGGGCCCTGAGGCAATCATGGTAACTTCTGTCCCATGGGGCATTGATGGAGTAGTGAGTGGTGTCCCTGTCTAGTTCCCAGTGGACATTACATACAATAGTAACCTAGAGGTCACATTTGCCCTTAGCATCTCTGGTTTTCCAGGTTTCCAGCCTGGCCTGTCACACAGCTGCATGGCTACCGAAGAAGGGATAAACTGAGCAAAGAGCTGTGTATATCAGAGGAGGGAGAGGGTTTGGAGTTTAGAGTAATGGCAGCCTTTGAGTTGATCTTGTAAAAACAGATGAGAGAGCTCAGAGCTGGCAGGGAGGACAAAGTATGACCTTGCACAGTAAAATCTCTGCTAAAGTGGAAGTTCTGGACAAAGAAACATGAGGAAGTCTTTTCAGCATCCTAAGATGCCCTGTTGACAACTATCCTCTCTGCTCTAGATAGCTACTCAGCATTTTTGAAAAATATGAGACAAGAGCTCACAATGTAGCCTGAGCAGCCTGGAACTCACTATGTGCCCCAGAGTGACCTCAAACTTGTGGCAATCCACCTGCCTCTGCCTTCTGAGTGCTAGGATGATAGGTGTGAGCCACCAAGCTTGGCTCTTTGCTTTCTTCATGTTTTCTGCACTTTTTCAGTTTTAGGGACCTGTTCCTGGCACACTCCCTCCCTGTAATGTCCACCTTTTCTCCGATGCTGCTTCCTCTAGCCTTTGGTAGTTCCTTCCAGCTACTAGTGCTCTTCCCCTACCCAGGGCTCCAATGGCTTTCTCTCCCTCTCTCTTAAGCAGTCAGGTGCTATGTAGAATTGCCATACTCACTCCATCCCATAATTTCCAGCACACATCTGCTTCATGGTCCCACCTCTGGCTCTTAGCACTTTAGAAGTGAAAATGGCATGTTGGGTTTTCTGTCTGTCTGTCTCCTCTCCTAGGCTGGGAGCCTCCTGAAGAGAAAGCTGAATACCCTGAGGGGTTGGGTACAGAGGACAGTATTACAGATTTGTTACATGAACCATTAGATGGATGAATTAGTGGATGAATGGATGGATGGATGGAAAGAAAGATGGGTGGATGGAAGAGGAAAGTGAATACTCAAGCTGGTTGCTTGGGACATCATTTTTTTCAACTAGGCTCTCAAAAAAACCTGCTATCATTTGATTAATTAATTTTACTATATTCAACCACTTATTCAAGTATTGTGATAGTTTGCATGTAATTGGCCCCTATAAGCTCATTGGGGGTGGCACTATTAGGAGGTATGTCTTCATTGTAGTAGGTATGGCCTTGTTGGAGAAAGTGTGTCACTGTGACTCAGACCACTTCCTGTTGCCTATGTGTGAAGATCTACTAACTCTCAGATCCTGCAGCACCATGTCTTCCTGCATGCCACCATGTCCCTCCATGATGACAATGGACTAAACCTCTGAAACTGTAAGCCACCCAACTAAATGTTTTCCTTTATAAAAGTTGCTGTGGTCATTGGTGTCTCTTCACAGACATCGAAACCCTAACTAAGACAAATATTGATTTTGTTTTCTTCTTTTTGACACAGGATCTCAGCCAGAGGATTGTGGCAAATGCCTTAAATCCCAGCACTCTCAAGGCAGAGGTAGACAGCCAGGGCTATACACAGAGAAACCCTGTCTAGAAAAACCAAAACCAAATGACCAAAACCAAAACAAAACAAAAAACCCATCCAACCAAACAAAAACAACAAAAAATAAGACAGGGTCTCATGCATCTCAGGGTGGCCTTTGGCTCAATATGTAGTCAAGAATGGCCCAGAACTCCCAATCTTCCTTCGTCTACCTCCTAAGTGGCTAGGGTGTTCCATCAAGCCTGGCTCCTCTGTCTTGGATGCTTGTGAAAATTAAATGGACAAATATAAAGGAAATATTTCAAATTATGTGTGACATCCAGGAATCACATTATGATGTTGTCATTTTATTCTATGGAGTTTTCCTAAGGAGTTTCTGCTTATAGGATGTGTTATAAGTTCACTCCCATCTCAAAACCCCATGGAGACACTTGAGCAGGTCCTTGCCCAGAGGGGACTAGAAGATTTCACCTTTGCCCTGTGGCTACCCTTCCTAACATGGGCCAGGATCAGAAAGACTGGGGATGAAGTAGAGAGGACTATCAGGTACACTGGAGTGACACCCAGCCTGGACGCAGGCTTGGGGAAGGGCCCAACGTTCAGGACTGAAGTTCCTCAGTCATTGCTTGCTGTCTCTTACCAGGGCTGTTGTGGTCATAGCGGTATGGTTCAGAGATGAAGTGTGGAAGTGCCATGAGCAGGCCTGCCAGGGCCACCAGAATAGCCCCATAGCCAATCATACGGGGTCTGTGAACTCGGCTGCCAAAGTAGCTCACCAACAAGATCAAGGACACGTTTCCTACCTGCAAAGAGATGAAATGACAAACAGTGTTCCCATCTGTACATTAGATTGTCCAGTTTGAGTAAGAACACCTGGATATGTGTGGAACAGACATTCTGAGCCAGGCATGATAGCTCATGTCTGCCACCCCAGTACTCCAGAGAGTAAATGAGGCAAGGGGATGGCTGGGAATTCAAGGCCAGCCTGGGCTACATAGTGAGACCCTATATCCTCAACAAACAACACAAAACTGACAAAAACATGCAGATTTTGAGTCTCCCTAGGAAAGGCAAGGGTCTCATTGCCTCTTCAGAGGAGGAAAATGAGGACAAAGCTGGCTGGTCAAGTTTGCTCTGGAGGCAGGTGAGAAGTAAAGGGAAGGGATTCGGAGCTTCAGGGACCTCAAAAATGAGAGGCACAAATAAAGACTGAAACCAGGAGGCTGAGGCTTGGAAAGTCTTAGATTCATCATCCCAGGGAGCTAGGAATAGGGTGTGTGAGCTCCAAGGTCCTCAAAGGGAGTGAGCTGCACCAATAGGAGTTGTTGGGTCCTAACTGTGGGGTGGAGGGGTGGTTTCCATTTACCAAATGGACCAAGTTTCCCTCCCCACATGTGAAATCTGAAAGTAGCATCATGCTGAGACCCATCTGGGGATGAGATGCTGTGCAGCTGGTGGGCCAGGGATGTGACTTATTATCCAGGGAAGAGAATTTCACAGAAATGTGATGGGGCTGGAGAGAGCAGACTCCCCCCCCCCCCCGGGCCGCCCCAGAGAGTGACAACATTAGTAACATTAGTGAGGGAGGGATGGCTGAGGCCCAGCAGAACCGATTTCCACTGAATCCACATGGGGCAGCTCTGCTTTTCCTTGCCTGGCTGAGGGCCACAGGAAAGGGCCTGTGGATACAGTACATCCTGGGGCCAGACCTTCACTGCAGTGTCATCCCTCCCTCCTGTCACCTCAAAGTCAGTCAGAGGGTGTCTTTGAGGTATCTCAAACCTCTCTCTGGGATAGTAGAAGTGACTTTCTGTGATTCCTTTCTTGGACAGCCAATAGCTATAGGACTCAAGACACAACGGAGCCACAAGGAGGGTGGGTGTCTAGTCAATTCTGGCAAGCTAGACAATATCACATGTTCCCTAGCAAAGAGCTCCTAAGGGCACGATGGCTGGGTCCCTTTTCCTACTAGGACAATCCAGGGCAGGAGGAGACTTTTCTAGGTTCCAACCCTGAGCCAGCATGCTGTGAGAGGAGAGCTATGGAAGTTTGGAGAAGTAGGCAATGTTGGAGGATTTACAGGAACATGGGGAGGAAATGTTTATGAGTGTAAGGAAGGAGGTTAGTGGAGGTAGGGGTATAGGGCTCCCTCTGCATGCACTCCTGAGGGGGAGCTAGGGAAAATAGTACCTCGTTGAAGGCAGCTAGCAGCCCCGACGTCTGACTGGACAGTCCAAAGCGTTTTTCCACTGTGGAGATGGAGCTCTTGAGGTAGCCAGAGATCATGAGCTGAGCCAGCTGTAGTATACTGTGGCACAGGACAAAGAACTGTAGGAGAAGCAGAGATGGTGGCAGGTGGATGGACACCATCAGAAGTCAGGGAGATAGAGACAGAGTTTGGGTCAGAGGGAGAGTAAGGCCAAAAGATGAGCAAGGAATAGAAGTTAGATAAACAAAGTCAGGAAAGGCAGATATATGAGAGGAGGAAAAAAGAAGGGGAGGTGAGAAAGAGGGAGGGAGGGAGAGGGAGAGGGAGAGAGAGAGAGAGAGAGAGAGAGAGAGAGAGAGAGAGAGAGTCAATTGGAGTAATCCATGGAGTCTTATGGAGGTTGAACTTAGGGACATGGGTGCTATCAGAGACACACTCGACTAAAAATAGGAACACCAGAGTCCTTCCAATCCTCTGATCTCCCCAGGCATTGGGCTGGACCTTCCTCCATGCTCTACAACACCAGCCCTTTCCCCCAGAAGGTTCTCCTAGATCTCCTAGCTCCATCTCCACCCCACTCCCACCCTGTTCACACAGCACTGCTCTGGAAACACTCCCTCTTTTGACTTCCCCAAGCTGTCCCACCCCAAATAACCCAGTCTTCCCAGAAAAAGCTGGCAGAATTCCTAGAAGAAGAAAAACTTGCTTCAAAGAATCAAAATCTGAGAACATTTAGGCCAGAGCTTCAGGCGTTTGCTCAATACTTTGGAGCCTCGGTCTCTTCATTAGGCCAAGGGAAGGCCCCCACCTCCTAGGGTTACTTAGGGAACTCAGATCTTGAGGGCTGGGGTGGGACTCAGTGGTAGAACACTGGCCTAGCTAGTGCAAGGTCTAGACTTCCATTCTTGTCATGAAAACAATGACAGAAAAGATGGGGTGTGCAGCACCTTGCACAGGATCTGACACTTGTGTCTTAGGGCCCTTGCTGTGGAGCCAGAACTGCAGTATTCACCCAAGTTTACAACTGCAGAGCATGTCCCCATTTCTCCAAGGGAATGAGAGGCAATGGGAGTCATCCACCATCATCTACAGACTAACTCGTATCAGCCTCTGCAAGGAGAACCTGTTCACCTTCTTTGTGCACAGAACCAAAGAGTTTCCTTGAGTCAGCCCAGGAACCCACCCTCTCGGCAAGGAAGTGGGAAGGAAGATGCTCGGTGTTAACTGCTGGGCTCGGTGGCCCCTTCCCTGCCTTGCCTGACAGTGCGCACCTTGATGTTATGGAACAGCCCTCGGGGCTGTGCATCCTGATTCGAGTCCTGAGGCTCCATGCTGACTTTGCTTTCATGCGTGTCTTCTGTGCTCATTGTGGTCTTGGTGTCTCTGTCTGGCATCTGGGGTCCCTCGCCTGTGGGCACAATGGGACATTCAACCAGGTGATGAGATAAAATCCCAGATAGACTTCAGGAGCAAACTGTTTCTGGAAAAACATGGCCTTGGTGGTTGTGAGGGTCTGAGAATTGGTCTCATCTAAGATCCCCGGGAGGGACTTTTCTGAGAGGCCATTCAGGCACACACCTCCTAAAGAGAAGCAGTCCCTTTTCCACACAGCAAGCTCTGGAGCAACCACTCTCACATTAAGTATGAACTGTGTAGTCAGTCTTTCAGTAGGCTTTAGGTTAAGGGTGTGGTCAAGGTTGGGTCCAGAACCAAGGGATAAAGGCTTTCCCTTTATAAGACAGAGACCCCTTCCAGTCATGGGACACCATCACGTATGTAGTCACACAGCCAAGCAGTCAAGCCTGCAAATCATTCATCAAAGCACACAGCTTCTCAGAATGTCACAGAACCTTCCGAACAAACAGACCAGGAGTCCCAGCTGTATGGGACCCCTGATCTCATTGCCATGGTGGCTATCTCACACAGTAACTATGGAAACATGTCTGTTACTCTCTCCTGCTCCTGATTCTCAGTGGAAACCCCACAAGTCCAGCCTTCAGGACAGAATCCTTTTAGTTGGTGATCAGCGCTTCCTCCCAGCCCACCCCATTTCCTGTGGATAGCCTCCTCCATTGTCCCATGTCTCCCTCACCACAGGCTACAACTTCCTTTAATTTTAAATGGTCTCCTGGAGGAAACCTCTTACACTATGGAGTTCCTCTCCATCCCCAGAAGAAACTCATAAAAGGCTCCTGAGACCCTGGGCCTCCACAGGCCAAGGTTGTATGCTCCTCACACAAAGTACTTTGGAGCCAGAAGACTATTTTTTAAAGTGAACATGTAGGCATTTGAGCATATGTCCATAGAGGTCAGAGGCATTGGGCTTGGTGGAGCTGTGAGCCACCTGATGTGAGTGCTAGGAATGGAACTCAAGTCTTCTGCAAGAAGAGTATACTTCCTTAATCGCTGAGCAATCCTTCCACTCCTGAGAACTATTAGTCCAGATCATAGGTAATTGTGATTGTCAACTTATGGGATTTGTAATCACCTAAGAAGATGGTTCCAGAGAGATTTAACTGAGGAAGATCCACTTAGAGTGAGGTGGCCCATCCTGTGGACTGTGGGTTCTGACTGAGTGAAGTACCAGCATGCCAGCATTTACCTCTCTGTCTCCTGACTGTAGATCCAATGTAACCTGACATCCTTTGCTCCTGCAGCTGCGCCTTCTCCATAGTGAGACATTGTAACCTCACACTGTGAGTCCAAACAAACCTTCCTTCAAGCTGTTCTATGGTCAGGTATTTGTGACTCTAACTAGCAAAATACGATACAGATTTCTCATGCCATAAAACTTTTAAAGCTCACAATCCATGGGTTTTCAGTACCTTTACAAAATTGTACAGCAATCACCACTGTCCAGTCCCAAAACTCTTCCTTCCTGCAGCAGGAAGTCTGGAATCACCACCAGTCACTTCCCATTCCTCCTTACTAGAGTTCTGGAAACCCTAATCTCCTTCCTGGCTCTGTGAGTTTCCTATTCTGGACATTTCACACAGATAAAATAACCTGATATGTGGTTAGTCACCTGTAGCTACTTTTTAAAACTCCATAATATTTTCAAGGGTGTTCAACATTGTAGCATCTGTCAGTGCTTGCTTGCTTTCTACAAATGAGTAGCACTCCTGTGTAGGATTAAATTGCTTTTTGTTCATGTACTCATCAACTGATAAATATTTGGGTAATTTGGGATATTGTGAGCAGTCATTACAGCATTTTATGTGACATGTATTTTCCATCCTCTTGGGCATATGCCTGGCAGAGGGGGCGGGGCAGTTGGAATTGCTGGGTCCCATGACAGTTCTATGTTTGACTATTTGAGGAACCATTCAACTGTTTGCTGCAGCTCTTCCATTCCTATTGTTTGGTTGGCCTGGACTCAGGGCACACTGGCACTGCTGTGGGGGTGATTTGGCTAGGTTTGAGTGGACCCAAATGGAGAAAGGCACTCCCCTCATCAGACACTGTTCATGGGGCATGCAGTGATGCTCCATTTTACAAGCCCACTAGCAGCGTTCCAGTCCTGCTACACCTTTTCTGATCTATTGTAGTCCGTCTTTTCACTGATGGCCACTCAGGTAGGTGTGATGTGACGTGTATGGTTTGATTATGATGGCAGGCATCTTTTTATGTTCATATTTGTTGTTTTTATAACCCTCTGGAGAAATGCCTAGACAGTAACTGGAAGAATTTGAGGAAATGGAAGTGCGTATGTCTGGGAGGAGTTCCTTTGGGGGCACAAACATCCAGAGGAAACAAAGGAAAGAAACACCTGGCAGGGGGGAGTTGGGGAGTACCACTGGGAAAGGGAAAGAGGAGGAGCCTGCAGAGGTCACCTAAAGAAGAGGAGGTAAGGGCCTTTAAAGAAAATGTCCCCAGAGACACCGAGGGGACTACTTCTCAACCTCAGCTCCTATTACCAGCAGAGGCCTGTCACCTGTTGCCATTTAGGTCTTCACATGCATCCACAGCACGAACACTCTCCAGAGCTCTGTGTCCTATGTCCTTTGTGTCTCCAAGTTTCTGAAGACTCCCAGCAGCTCAGTCCGGATGTTGAACTCAACGGCCCTCCTCACTTACTCCTTGAGTAGATCTGAACAGGGGGAGGAAGCACAGTGCCCTTCTCTGTCTTGGTCCACCCCAACCTAGCCAGGTCACCTTGGCAGCAGTGCCAGCATGCCCCAAAGGCTGGTCAACCAGACAGCAGGGCTGGAGCTGAGGCCGGAAGGTCTGAAGTCACTGATGTGATGTTCCACCTCAGAAAGAAATGCAAGGGATGGATGAGGGGAGGGAAGGAAGGTCAGTGGGCCACCTCAGAACACGTATTTCCTGGCCCAAGACCAGACCCTGGACTCTCAGCCTGGGCTCCTGAGGCACTGGGGACAATTCTCCCTGTATGCAGTCACATTCCTCTCCTCCTCTCATTCAGCATTGTTTACCTGCCTTAGGTAAGCTCCTACTTACAGCCTCAATCCAGACCTTCCGGAGGCTTCCACCGCAGCCTCCCCTGCCAAAACTCAAAGTCTCCTTGGCTTATTTTGTCGGTTAGTGAAATGACAGTTTCTGGTCTGATGTTCTCCTCTCTAGGTTGGGAAGGAAGCCCAGCAAATGCTTTCAGCTCTGAAAGCAGTCATCTCCCAGAATGTCTATCAGCCAGAACTTCTGCTTCCTAAGAGCTGGTCAGTTCCAGCCTCTGGTGCAAGGCTGTTCCTCATAAATAGGAGCAGTCATGTAGCTGTAGCCACATGACAAAGGGCAAATGCTTCAGAAACCAGCCTACCCCTTCCCTCTCTGCTCATTCTTTCCAGGGAAGACTCAGGCCCAATCCATAGTACTTCCCAGGGTCAGACTGCAAAAGCAAACCCTAGGATCTAGAGCTGGTATAGGCTTTCTCAAGCTTGAGTTGCACTCCCAACTGCCCGCAAACCTCCGAGGTGATCCTGAACATATGTCTTGATCTTTCTGAGCCCTAGTTTTCCTCAGCTTACAGCTATGGATAACAGTATCTACAGATAGGATCCAAGGCACACAGCTCCCAAATATGGCAGGTTGGCTTCTCATTTGAACCATTTCAAAACAGGCTTGGCTACATCCCCTTCAGTTTGTCACCATCAGGCCATACCCCATTTGTCCAGCTGAGCCTCTTCACCATCAGTTATTTCATCAGACCTAACATAAACACACACACTTCATGTCTCCTACTGAAGACTTCCATATCTTATGAACTTTAGACTAAATAATTCTGTGTGCTTCTTATCTTGCTAATTTGTCGTTGGAGTGTCTCAGGCACGAAGCCAGGATAAGTGAAGAAAGAAAAATCTCTACTGCCTCAGCACCATGAGGTGGGTCTCTATCAGGACTGGCCTTCCAATTGACACCACTAAGAGCCATTTTCCACTAATTCCAGATAAATCTTCCAAAATGTCCTAGACAATATATCTCAACTGGAGCTGCCTCCTGATTCTAAGTTCTCTTCTTTGTTCTGGCAGAGCCATTGTCCACCTCCAGACTGCCTCTCTTCCTCTTTCATCCAGGCTCCAGTCAGCCACAACACCCAGAGAACTTCACCCCTCTCTCCAAATACACCCAGTAGCCCTAAAGGCAATGACCTAGGTTTGGAGTGCAAGCTGCAGTTCAGCCATGTAGCCTTAGATTCAGGTCACTTTGGTTTCTCATGTACAGGGCAGGGATAGCAGCCCCTCTTCTCCACAGCAGAAGGCGTCCTCGAGAGCCCAACTTGCCTACTTGCACATGAGACCTCACACTGGAGCCTCTGGACTTTGCCTGTCCCTGCTAACACGGCACTGCTCCTCTATGGTCTTCGTAAGCAGTTTGTTTTTCTCTTCCTAGTTTGTACAGTTCAAACAAATGTTTAAACTGATCAGTATTAACTGTTAACCTGGTCCATTCTTCAAGGGGAGCCATCAACAAAGCGCTGGCCTTCAGGTCCCTTCCTCTATCTTGTCCTCTACCCCAGTCCCCCCTTTCTTCTTCCCTCCTTCCCTTCCTCCCTCCCTTCTTCCCTCCCTCCCTCCCTCCCTCCCTCCCCTCTATTTTCTCTCTCCTTACCCTTCCTTCCCTTTTCTTCCCTCCCCTCCCCTCCCCTCTCCTTCCCTTTTCTTTCCTGTCAACAGAGTCTCACCATGTAGTGGGAAGATGACCTCAGATTCCAAAGCCTCCTGCTTTGGAATTTCTGCTGGAATTACCTGCATGCACCCGGTTATATCCAGCGGCAGAGCCTTTGATCCTCCTGCCCCAAGGCCACATATTTCTACAGTTTCCACCAATCCCGAACCGCCACACTATGATTCTTATCTTCTCAGAGGCCTTCTCAGGTCTCTGGTCACCCTTCCCCCACTGCATTGAAAGCTTTTAAATCAGATTTCCAGCTTTTCAG